CTATATATTTCCTTTCCCCCCAAAAAATATACTGGTTAATGTTTTATTGTTATACATCTTAAAGATAAATGTTTATTATACAGTAAGATGTCATTTTTTAAATTTTTTAAAACAAAATATTAAATTTATTTTTTAATATTTAACCTTTAAAGTATTTAACTGCAACTGATATCGATTTATACTGTTATAAATATATTAAAAAATCATGTTTTAATGTATATTTTTCATTTAAAAAAACATTATTAAAAAATAAATAATAAATTTTTTATTATTACAATAGCAAAGATGTTGGAAAATAATTTTGAATTATTAAATTTAAATACGAATTTTACTAAAACTTTATGTCAATACGACGATACTAATTTACATCATAAATTTATTATTATAGCAAATGAAAAAATAATAATTTCAGCATGCTATATATATAGAATAAAGTATAAAATATAATAGAAACACGTAACGTGTATTTTCTATGAGGCATATTATACAATATATACTATTAGTATCGGATCCACGAGACTTGTTATACTATACGTTTTCTTTCTTTAGTATTAAATTACTTAGTTACTATAGAAGTTTATTGGCACATTAATAACTTCTTGACGTATATTAATATAGAAGTAAACACAACTTGATATATTATTATAGAAAATCTATAAATGATATATAGTTTTTTTTACTATTAAACTAATATGTATATAAATCTATTTTTATGCTCGTTTTATATGTTATAAGTAATTGAGATTTATAATTTAATAAATTAATATTAATTTATATTGTCGTACTCAAGTATGTGCAATTACAGCGGTAAAATTCTTCGATATCTGAACTTTATCTAACGAAGAAACAATGCTTATAACAGATTTATTTCTTTTATTTTCTCTCGTTTTTTTTTAAATCAAATAAACGATGGAGAAAACATCAAAGTTTGTGATCAAGTGATTTCTTAAAAAGTCTTGGAAAACTCTTAGCGATATGGCAATCGAAAGTCCATGGCAATTAAACTGACATTTCCTCCTCTGAGTTTTCCTTTACCTGTTCGCAATTTACGGTCCTATAATGTGGGTTAGAACCTGTTTCCAGAAGGAAAAAAAAATAAAGAAAAATTGCTGGCAAATATCCAATATACCAAAATAAGAAATAAAAATAGAACAATATGGATGGATAGAGAAATAATAATATTAAAAAGAAAAATCTGATCTTCTAGTGTAGTTGCGACTTTCTCGTATAATATAAGCAAGCTATAAGAAAATAAGATTTTTGAATATTTATGTACAACTCAAAAAAGGCAATATGTTATGATTAGTTCCGTGACATTGTTCGATATTACGATATATATATATAAAGGGAGTATGCCTGTGTGTATTTGTGTGCATATATAAGGGATGAAATTGTAAGAATTATTCTATAACTAAAAAAATACACTCGCCGGAAGGGATATACGTATCCTTTTATCCCTCCCTCCCTTCTGAGTGTTTATTTTTAGTTAAGATGATTAAATTTTATATATATTTGACAAGATCGCCTTGGGTGTTTTTTCTGTGTTTTCTATGGGTTTTAGATGAGTCCAGGTGATTTCGTGTTGGTTTCTTAAAGAAGTGAATCTTCCGTAACTTTCTCGTAAATAGAATCTAATCTTTTTGATGTCTGGTACAGAAGAAGCGAAGTAGAAATGGTTGGATACAAGATTACTGAGTGAAGGCAAAGGATACTAATGGTGGCAATAAGTGTGCAGCAACCAAAATGAAATTTTCTATTTTCCCTGGAGGATAATGTGTATTGTATTCGGAAATGTTGTTTCGATAAAGAAAACGTGATTTACTTCTTAATTGTAATCAGTTAAGAATGTTTGACTTTACAAATTTTTCTTTCTTTCTTATTGGCAATTTTTCTGTAAACTTACCTTAAATATATATGGGTTACCTTTTGAAGTATATATATTTTTTAAGCAGATAAGGATAAAAAAATCTCATATGTGTAGAGATTTGAAGTAATTTCAAGTCGAATTTTTGTAGTATTTCTTAAATCGAAACTGGTATAAGGTAGAGAGATACACTTCATTCCGTACGGAGCGAAATGTATCTACGTTTTTCTGATTTCTTGTAGTAACCATTTTCTAAAGTTATTTTATAGAAAAGTTTTCCTTTTTCTCTCCTTTAATATTATTGATTATATATAATCTTGCAGGAAATTCTTTAATTTATCATGCCCGAGTATTGCTTAACAAATCATTTTCTGTTTCTACCAATATCTAGGAAATTTATATGTATGTGCTGTACTGTACATACAAAAATTGTTATGGAGAAAGGAGTGTTCTGGTTTATTGAAAATCTTGATCAGATATCAAGATAAATAGGATTTGCTTACCATAAAAATGTTCTTTTTTTTGAAGCATGAGTAATGTTTATATTTTTTTTTTTACATGCTTATAAAAACATTACTTCCAAGTAAAATTGTCCATAGAAAATTTAAGATTTTGTTTTCGTGTGCCTACTTTGAATAGAATTTTATGAAAGAACCTTATGAATTATAATGATAAACGTCTCAGCTGCTTAATAAATATTTAAAATAGTCCTATATAATCTATAAAATAGAATATAAGATATATTCAGGGAAAAAATAAAAATAGAATTGGGATAGTCTATAGAGAGTATTGCTTTTTTTTCCATGAAAACATTTACTATCTTAAAATAAATATAGAAAAAAACTGACCTAAATATTATAGAGAAAAATATAATATTGAATTTTAAAGAAAATGCATCCACTTTTTTTTTTATATTTATTCAAGATAAATCGGTTAGAAAAGTTATTCATCAGTTATCAGTCAAAAAATTCAGTTGAATAATCGAATAAATTTCTTATTTTAGAACTTTAAATATTTCATATCTCGAAAAAGTATATATATTCTTAAAGGAATATAACGTGAAAAATCATAAATATTTTCAATCTAGTAAGATTTTAAATAGTTTTAAAAACGAATTATTATTCATAAAAAGAAAAATTATATTTAGTAACACGTTTTGCGCTAGATTATTCTTTAAAATTGCGTAAAAAAAATATGATTTTATAGCATTTTCACGTGTAATTTTGTATATTTTAAATAAATATAAAAGATAGAAAATTGATAGAAATTAAAGCTTCATACACAAATCTTAATATACTAAAAATATAATATTAAACTATTTGAAAACTGACAAAGATGAAGGAAATTCTTTTTGAAGGCAGCAAAATTTCTTTCGATAAAGTATCGTATGTATGTATATATATACGTCGAGTGGAGAAGAGAAAACAAATTGCTGTTGGAAGCAGATAGTGTGTGTGCAACATTGCAAAAGTGAGTGATGAAACCATTCTATAAAATCTAAAATAATCACCTTTAAAAAGCCTAAAAAATAATAATAATTTTATACTAAAATTAACGACGAACCTAACTAACATTTCCTCGCCCCCATTTTTTTTTAAATACTTAAAATTTAATTAAGCGAAACTATTTTAAATGCCAATACTCTCTCTCATTTAAAGTAAATTACCGAAAATTCGATTTTATAATGTGTGTATATATATATATATGCATTTAACTACTTTAATGATATTGGGTGGAGCATATTAATGTTCTGTACTGACCTAAATTGATAGAAAGCAAAAGTAATATCCTGAAAATATCATTAAACTGTGTATAATAATAAGCAATATTTTCTACACTAATTAATATTTTGTTAAGATAAGCATAAACGAGACTTTAAATGAGATACAGTTCATTGAGTATATAATTTATTGAATGAAATCTAACGAGTTAGATCGATTTAGTACGTCTGTATGTCTGTATTTATATCTCTTTAACACAATTTACTCGTTTCTTTGATAGGAATATCGCAAATTCTTTATCGGTCAGATAAGTCGAATGAATTTTTATAAAAATACAATTTAAAATTTACATTTTTTTTACGACATTTTTGTATGGTGAAAGGTGTTTAGACACATCTAAAAAATTACAGAATATACATTTTTTTTTTTTTTTCTTTAACATTACTTTCCTCGCTTGAAGAGTCATTAAAAATATATGGAATAGGGAAAGTTTAAACTGTGTTAAAGAATTCTAAGAATTCTATTTGCATGTTTATCTTGCATTGGATTTCAATTTATAGCCTGGGGTTTGAATCAGAATATTTATTTAGCTTGTGTAAGGTTATAAAAAAAAGAGCAAAGAACGAAAAAAAATAGGAAAAAACTCTTCAATTTTTTTAAAAAATGGGGTTTTTATCGCATAAAAAAACCTTTTAAATTAATTTTTGTATTAAAAAAAAAGCTTAAAAAATATAAATTAATTAAAACACATTAAATCTAATGTAAATTGTTTTAATCAATTTTATAGACTGTTACAAACGAGTCAGATACTTAATATTGTATTTATCATCATTATTATAATAATAATTATCATTATTATATATATATATATATATATATTTATTTATTTTGTTTTGTATCAAGGCAAATGATATATCATTAAGCTTTGCAAAACAGTAGATACACCATAAATGTATATATAATGGGGGGTATATTTTCAAAAAACATTTTTGTTTATTTATTTATTATCGTTTATTAATATTAATATTATCAAAGACACAAATTCTTTCATATTATAAACGATTAACATAGCAATAAAATTAGTTTTATAAGAAGAGAGATGGAGCTGCAATCGCTATTGG